CAGGAAATGAAATGGATTTCAATATGTGTGAGCCCCCAAATATTTTAATGGACTTTACCTGCATGAAGCCTCTCAGGCTAATATTGTTGATTAGGATAAGAACATAAAATAATGATATCAGGAAAAGAAAGTCATTTCTGATTTACCGTCTCAGTTAAGAAAACCATCATGGCATCATAATTTGGTGAATATAATAGAGAATTAAGTCAGCACACTTTAATAGGTTCTTCTGTGACATCAGTGTTTAGAATGATTGAGTAAATGTAATTTCTGCAACAGGGAGTTGAAGCCATGGGCTGACTAGTGTCTACACTGGGCCTGACACAGAACTCCATCATATTGGGGGGTGATGGGGAGGTGCAGGTTTACCCAGTGTGATGGTATCTGTACCTAGAAAAGCCCAGGCAGGTCCTTGATAGAGTTTGAGCCAGTCATGGAGTAGCATTTACTACACTGACCTTTGACACACACAAACATTTATACTTTGGACAAATATTAAATATTATCTAAATGTAATGGAGAGTGACCAAGGCAGGCAGAAACTGGAGGGGAGTTCACTCTGGGTAAGAAGGGAGTCATATTCTTAACTCTTTTCAACTTAGGACAGACCCAAAGGCAGTGCCATTGAGAGTAAGTAAAACTCATGGAAACCTCAAGTTTTTCCAGTGGAGAAATCAGAGGACGGAGGTCAGAGTGACCAAAGCATCTGGGAAAGGGAGGAGGAAATGCTGAAAAGGGGAGAACTAGAGGGCGACCACACTGAACCCACAGCCTCCGGACAGACTCCAAGCAGGCCAGCCTACACGGAGAAGTGTGCAGAGATTTCCTTTGCCCACCGTAGGGGAGACAGGATTTAGAGCGTGAGATCAACCAAGTTGACTGCCTGTTACACAAACAAACAAGTATTCAGTGGAACAAAACAGAGTCCACTGTCTTTATAATGCATTATTTGTAATGTCTAATTGTCAGGCACATGAAGAAACATACTCAAAAGAAATGGCAATCAGTGGAGAACAATCCCCAGGTGTCCTGGATATTGGAGTTGGTGGACAAGGATTAAAAAAAAAAAAATCTCTTTATTGTGAAAGTTACATAATGCACCCTCTGACCCAGGCTTTTACCACACTATTATCTGTGTCCATGGATTATGCATACATGCATATAAATTCTTTGGCTAATCACTTCCCATTCACCCACCTCCTACACAATCCCTCTGATTCATTTGTTCCATGCTTCTATGTCTCTGGATCTATTTTGTTCATCAGTTTCTTTAGTTCTTTAAATTCCACATATGAATGAGATCATGTGATACTTGTCTTTCTCTGACAGGCTTATTTCACTTAACATAACACTCTCCCAGTCTCTCGGGGCTGGTGGACAGGATTTTTAAGGTAGCTGTTATAACCCCACCCCAGACCAAAACACCCCCTTCCCTCCGCCACCAGAAACCCTCTTAGTGCATAGGACGTTTCAACAGAGAAAACTTTAACAGTAGGATCAAATGGATTCTAGAAGTGAAAAATAGAGTCTGGAATTTAAAAACCACCAGAATGGTTTAACAGCAGTTTGGAGATGGTAGATAGTAGGTCAATAAACGTAGAGATAGAAAAACTGAAATGACCGAATCTGAAAAATATGTGGGCAGTCAAAATTGGGTGTGGGAAGCTTTTTCTTCGGTTAGTGCTTTTATTGAAGGTAAGCTTCTAAAAAAGTTATAGTAGACACACAATATTTCATGAGTTTCAGGTGTACAACATAGTGATTCTATTATTTTTATATATTACAAAATGATCACCATGATGTGTATTACCGTGTCACCAAATGAAGTTATATTGACCGTATTCCCTGTAGTGCTTATTACATCCTTGTGTCTTAATTATATCTGGCGTTTTTTCCCTCTTAATACCCTTCACCCATTGCACCCGTTCTCTCTCCCTTTGTTCCCTTTGGCAACCACCAGTCTGTTCTCTCTATCTATGATCTGTTTGCTTTGTGTTTTAGACACCACATGCAAGTGAAATCATGCGATATTTGTCTTTCTCTTTTAGATAAGATTGGTAGACTGGTAAATCAGGAAAATGCTTGGCCAGATTTCAAGTGCTTTAAACAGAACTTCTCATTATTTCCTCATGCATAAGATGGGAAAATGTGGACCATGTGACAGTTTAGATGCATTCCTTCTTAACGCTGGCCACTTTCCCAAGACTAACCACGCTGAAAACAGGGGTTCGTATGAAGTGCAATGATGGAAACTGTCCCTGACTTTTTTTATTCATTTGTCCTCCTCTACTAGCTCATGAGTAAACTCCATGAGGGCAGGCAATGCATATTTTATTTTCATTTTTTAAAAATATTTTTATTGACTTCAGAGAGGGAGAGGAAGATAGAAACATGGATAATGAGAATCATTGATCAGTTGCCTCCTGCATGCCCCACACTGGGATTGAGCCCACAACCCAGGCATGTGCCCTGATCGGGAATTGAACCATGACCTCCTGGTTCATAGGTCGACACTCAACCACTGAGCCACATGAGCAGGTTGAGGAGGGGCCATGCATATTTTAAACATGTATCCTCCTAGTTGCCAGGAATTCAATCTGTAAGTTCTGCCACCTGGAATGGGGGCAGGCACTGGGGGACACGAGGGTGAGCCCTGTGACAAGGGACCCAGGAATCACTACATGCAGAAATTAAGACAGATGTTCGTGCCAGGGAAACCATCAGCCGCTGGTGCTGGAGAGACTTTGTTTCTTCAGGGTAGTGTTTCTCCACGTGTGGTTCAGATCCCTTGCTTTAGAATTGCCAGGAGTGCTTATTCAAATGTCAATTTGGGACCCAACCCTAGACTTGCTATCTCTAAGGATGGGCTTGGAAATCTATAGGTGCTCTAAGTGATTCTTTTTAAAAAAAAAATATTTTATTGATTTTTTACAGAGAGGAGGAGAGAGGGATAGAGAGCTAGAAACATCGATGAGAGAGAAACATCGACCAGCTGCCTCCTGCACACCCTCTACTGGGGATGTGCCCGCAACCAATGTACATGCCCTTGACGGGAATCGAACCTGGGACCTTTCAGTCCGCAGACTGACGCTCTACCACTGAGCCAAACCGGTTTCGGCCTAAGTGATTCTTATGGATAGAAATGTAAACTATTGTTTGTTCCAAGGCCATGGTCGGCCAACTGCGGCTCTCTAGCCTCATGCGGCTCTTTGGCCTCTTGAGTGTGGCTCTTCCACAAAATACCATGGCCTGAGTGAGTCTATTTTGAAGAAGTGACATTAGAAGAAGTTTAAGTTTAAAAAATTTGGCTCTCAAAAGAAATCTTAATCATTCGGCTCTGTTGACTAATGAGTTTGCAGACCACTGTTTTAAGGGGTTGGAGATCTGACAAAAGTAGAGACTGAAAATCTCACAACCTTGGCACTACCGGCATTTTGGGGTAGATAACTCCTGAGGTGGCTGCTGCCCTGTGCACTGTGGGATGTCTAGTTATATCCCTGGTCACAAACCCTTTAATTGCAGCAGCACCTCTCCTCCTAGTGCGACCACCACAAACATCTCCGAACGTTGCAAGATGTCCCCCCGGAGACCACGTAGCCCCTGTCCGAGAACTACTGCTTTGGAGGATTGGCATAGCAAGCATGCTCCCCATCTGAGGGTCAGAGCACAGCTGGGGGATGCCCAGCTACTGGAACGGGAATGCCTAGTTCCGGAACCTACGGTAAGAGCTCCTTCCTAAGGGTGATCCTGGCAGCTCAGCTACCTTGACGAAGGGGCCTGCAACCACAGCTGGTGCATAAATACAAAGGCTGAGAACCAGGCAGGGGATGGCAGCTTGGGCCAGGCCGCGATCCAGGCTGTGTCCGGGCATCCACCCAGAAACGGCAGTGCTTCTGAAGCAGGATTTCCAGGGACGCCCAGGCCCGATGCACAACCTGGGTTAGATGACATCTGGAACTGTTCAGAAGCTCAGACAGGCTAGCTCAGCTCCCGTCCCATCTCACAAGTGAGGAGGAAAGCATTGCAGATATCATGTGGCCAAACTGTCCAAAATAGGGGCTTTCCTCAATTTTACTTTTGTCTTCTGTCCTGAGCCTTCTTGCTCTTCTGTAGTTTCCTGATCCCATTCTGTGGCCTACTGCCCGACTTCTCTCTGCCCAGCCCCCTTGTTCGGTCATGTGTTTGGCTTGTGTGTGACTTGGGCAACACTGAAGAGGTGGAGTCAAAGCCTTGCTGGCTGATTGGGCTGGCACTTTGCAACTTCCCTTTGAAGGTACCCTGTGGGAAGGCAGAGGACAGGAGTTGGCTGAAGGCAGCCACCCCTGTCTTGACTTTTCCAAACAAGTCTGAGCACCAGGCATTTATTGGAATCGTTGTGCTTAGTCTTCAGACGTCCTTGCTTAAAGGACACTGCAGATGCATGTGCCTTCTCAAGGATGCTTCCCTGTTGATAGTATCAAATTGTTAACTTTAGTTCAAGCTGTTGTTACAATTAAAGCCAGTGAACGGGGTTGTTTGGTTTCTCAAGCCAAGCAGTCCCTTATCCTCTCTTTCACAGAAACATGTGTCAGAGTAACCGTTCACTTGTCGCCCCAGGTCAGCCGGTCAGCCCTGGCAGTGCCTAGTAGCACGTGTTGCATCAGGTCATGCAGGGTAAGCAATAAGTGTAAAGCAGTAAGATGGGTCCCATGAGCTGCACATGAAACATCAGTTTCACAGAGCAGCGCAACTGCTTTATGACAGGAAATTCAGAAAAGAGAAGAATTCTCTGGCACTTTAGAGTGTACTCCAAGTTTCATTTCCATGTGAAACCCTGCAGTGAACTAAAAAGTACATCCATGGAGAAGCTCAGCTGAACTTGGTTAGCCGTGGTTCAAGTTGCTACTAGTTTAGCAATAATTTCACAACAACCCAAGAACTCTATAAAAACACTTCCTTTAATTTTATTCAGAAAAAAAAAACAAAACCAAACAAACAAAAGACAGAGACAAAAACCCTTGTCATTTGCAGTATCTATCAGCTTTCAATTTGGCTCTCCTGTTTAAAAAGACAAATAATTAAAATTAATCTATGTAAAACATTCCATATATAGTCAACTGCTACTAAATATAAACCCATGGTTAGAAACTGTGTTCTCAATTTTGGTTATTATATTACCATAATATTTACATTAAGATATTTTAATTAAAACTTTACTTTTCAATTTTATCCTATCCTATATAATAAAAACCTAATATGCTAAGTGTACGGTCGTCTGGTGGGCTGTTCACAAAATCAGAGTGTCGTTCAACCAATCAAAGTGTAACATGCTGATATGCTAAGGCCGCTCAACCGCTGGCTATGACGTGCACTGACCACCAGGGGGCAGCTGACCAGTCGCCCAGTTGCTATGATGCGCGCTGACCACCAGGGGGAAGGTACTCTGAACTGTAGGTTATCTTGCTGCTGGGGTCCAGCCAATCGGGACTGAGCAAGACAGGCCAGACATACCCTGGAGCCCTCCCACGGTCCCTCCCAGCCCTGATTGTGCACTTGAGGTAAGGGGGACCCCGGCAGGCACTCTCTCCCAATCTGGGACCCCTGGGAGGATTCTGAAGAACCGGTTTTAGCCCAATCCCACTGGCCAAGCTGAGGGATCCCACTGGTGCACCAATCTGTCCAGTGGGCCTCTAGGGTTTCACCCTAAATGGATGAGTCTTTTCCTCACCTTTAACAAATGTGCCTAAGGGCTTTTTCAGTCCACATGAGCAATTTTAATCACCTCTGATTTTAAGCATGCCCCAACTTCTGTTTAACAATGTTGTGCTTTTGTTAAGAGATAAAAGCTACAGGACATAGACTATAAACCTTATTTTATTTCTTCTGAGTCTATAACCTGACTATTTTTATACCTCGTTCTTAATAACTTAGAACTAGAAACTAGATGCTAATTTTCTTAGCTAGGAAAAATTCTTTCATCATTTACTGACTTTAGGTAATAATTCAATCAACTAGTTAGCAGGAAATACACGGTTTTTATTAAGTAATATGAAGAAATGTCTTAAGACTAATTTTGAAACATAGCACTTGAGTGAATGGCATATTAGCAAATTCTTCTTTAATCTGGCACTTCTTTGCTTTTAGTTGTTAAGCTCAAAGTTTAACCTCTCTATTCAGTTTTTAATGTTGTAAATCCAGAGTATTATTTAACTAAATAGAAACAGTAATAAATATCAATAATGTGCTATGATAAATGTCCTGCACACTTCTGAATTCGACTTAATAATAGTGCTTCAATTTCATGTATTTAATTTTATAATTAGTAATTTTTAAACTGACCTATATTTATCTCATTTTTAGGAACCCGTGCAACTCTAATAGAACTGAATTTTGAAATGAGTCACATGACTTCTTTTTAGCCTGCTTCCTTCTAATAGCTATAAAAAGATGTTGTAAATAAATTTGTTGTAGTGAAAGTAAAAAATAAATAAATAAATAAATAAATAAATAAATAAATAAATAAATAAATTTGTGATGTAATTTCAGTGAGATCTGAATTTCTTACAACAAAATATATAAGTACTTGGAATCTGACTATATTTAGACAGTTTTTCTTGGTGATCTTTTCCCAGACTTACAATGTCCTTTTTGGATAATATTACCATGTTCACAAATTAGAAATAAAGATAAATATTTGAAAAGTACAAATAATTAAAAAGAAAAAACATTGGGCCCTAACCAGTTTGATTCAGTGGACAGAGTATCAGCCAGTGGTCCGAAGGGTCCTGGGTTTGATTCCGGCCAAGGGCACATACTTCAGTTTAGAGGCCCTGATCAGGGCTCATGCAAGAGGCAACCAATCAATGTGTTTCTCACATTGATTTTTCTGTCTTTCTCTCTCCTTTCCACTCTCTAAAAATCAATGGAAAAATATCCTTGAGTGAGGATTAAAAAAAAGAAAAAGAACATTGGGTTTTATATTCGCCACTTCTACTGGGTAATCATAATGAAAATAAGTAAAAATAGACCTACCTGTCCAGAAGTGTTTCATGCAAGAATCCATCTTTCCGGGCCTTTTTAAGAATTTTACTGTCTTCTTTACTTATTTTAAGTTTCTGGTCTTGGAAGCTCTGAAATTTCTTTCTGTTAAGAAAATATCTCTCTTGAAAAAATATCTCAAATTTTGATTATACCTGACTACTGATGCACTTACAAATATTTTTAAGTCTTCATTTATTAAAAAAACCTAATTCTATTTCTATAATAACATGCAACTTTTCAAAAATGGGTGCTCTTAGTTAGTGCCCACCAGCAGGAAGGCAGCTGCGTGGCAGCTCTCCACAGCCTCACCTTTACCATGGAATGCAGGCTGGAGCCCACATCCTGGCCATGGAACAACATAGGGTTGCCATTCTGTACTGACAGGGAACAGCCATTCTACTAACTAACTGGGAGGACACACGCGGCCAGGTGACTGAGCTTTGGAAGCTAGCAGGATAATTAGGAAAGCTTCATGAAGGATTGTGAAGAGGAAAAGCACTGAGCTCAGTGCTGTGTTCTAGGGTTTACATTACGCTGCCTCTTCCTGTCCTTCAGGCATTTTATTTCAGGCACCTTGAGAAGCACTTCGCTGTCAGATCTGTAGATCTAAAAGGAAAAGACTACGTACACATAATTGATTTCACACTGTTTAACATTTCCTTTATCTTCCTCTGGGATGTCATCTTTTTTCTTGGTTTCTCTTTCAGCACAGGATCTAATCTGGACATTGGAAATGAGAACCAGTAAGTTACACATTCATCTTCCCCCTTTCCCTCTTCACTTAGCACACAAGAACAGTCTAGGTGACTTCTTATGCAAAAGAAGGAAACCATTAACTTAGCAATTAGGTTCAGAAAATGGCAGGTTCTAGATATTGTTTTTATTTTCATATAGAATTTATATAAATCATTGCTATTATATGTTTCTTGTGCATCAGAAACACTAAAGAGAAATCATTTGGAAAACATTAGAAGATCAGATGTTGCTAAACAATTAGGCAGTAATTTAATTTTGGCCTCAAAGTCAACACAGGAGGGCCAAATTACCCCTAGCAGGTAGTGTTTATTTCATAACATTGAAAGCTTACGATAGTATTTTACTCTGCACAAGCTATTACCAAATATATTCAAACTTTTAACTTAATACAATTTGTTTTTATCTAACTGGAATCTATCCCTTTTAAATATTTCTTATATCCTCTTAAGTTTTCACTGACATTTACTATTCATTGCCATAAATGAACAGAGATAGATACAGCAATTAAGATCTAAGTTTTAAATATATATATATTTTATTGATTTTGTACAGAGAGAACGGGAGAGAGATAGAGAGTTAGAAACATCGATGAGAGAGAGTCATCGATCAGCTGCCTCTTGCACACCCCCTACTGGGGATATGCCCACAACCAAGGTACATGTCCTTGACCGGAATCGAACCAGGGACCTTTCAGTCCCCAAGCCGATGCTCTATCCATTGAGCCAAACCGGTTTTGGCAAGATCTAAGTTTTAGATGAAAATTACTTGAGACTTTGGTGGAGAAAATACCTTTTGATAAAACTTTGGAAAATATTCTGAGATTTCTAAATTTTTGTGCTGTGTAGAGTGGTACTTCTTTCTCCACCAATCAACTCCAAATAATGATGTGAAGAGTTACTGGTATTATTCTTGTTTTAAAAGGTAAGTGATATTTTTAAAGTAAAAAGAAAAATACTAAGTGACTAAAACTGAGTGTTATGAAAGCCAAGAACATTTAAAAAGTAAAATCAAATATATAACATGGAATTCAACACAAAGCATGTACAGATACTTGATAAATGCATGCAAAGACTTTTACGTATTCATCAAAAGATCCAGAATTTAAGGATAAGAGCTGTGAAAAACTCTGTTAAGACTTTCATATTTTATACTAGCAACACGGATGCTCAAGTGTTAGACAACTCAAACATGATGGTGGGAGTGTAGGTTAGTACAACCCCTATAGAGGGTACTTGGCAGTATGTAAACAAGGGCTAAGGTTTACAGCCCTTGACCCTGTAACTATGCTTCTGGGAACTCACCCTTGGATATGCTCTCACACCCACAGAAGGATGCACATTCAAAGTTACATGCTGCAGCACTCCTTATAACAGCAAAATACTGAAAATAACCTAATTTCCATTTATACACCACTGATTAAACTATGGTATACCCCTAAAATAGAACATTATGTAGATATTAAAAAAGAGAGAGGAAGAAGAAAAACAAAAAGGAGAGGGAAAGCTTTCAATGTAATGATAAGGGCAAAGCTCCAAAATACAATGTTAAGAGAAAAAAAAAATCAGTGTCTAAAAGAGTGTATAAAGACGGCTAACATTAGTGCAAAAAAGTAGACAAGTACCAAAAGTTATATGTTTATTCAGAAACTCTAGAAGGCTGCAGAATAAGCATGTCACACTCAAAGCCTAATATAGGCCAAAAAAATGAGGCATGTGGCCTGCAGGCTGTGAGTTTGACATGTTTGCTGTAGAAGGATGGGAGACATATGCTTACATATGCTTGTATTTGAAAATTTTGGAATTATGTGCTCATATTTATTTATTTAAAATATTAAGTTTTAGCCCACCTAGCTGGCTTAGTTAGCTGGAACATCATCTGATGCACCAAGAAGGTTTTAGGTTTGATGTCCCATCAGGGCACATACCTAGGTTGTGGGTTTGATCCCCAGTGTGGCTTATAGAGGAGGCAACCAATCAATGTTCTCTCTCTCTGTTTCAAATCAATAAGTGTATCCTTGGATGAGGATTAAAAAAAAATGCAGATAAGAAGAAAGATAGAGCTAAAAACATGCAAGTACTCAGAAAAGGATACTAATACATGGAGATAATAGCAAGGGAGCTTACTCAGTAATTTCTCTTCCACAATGTGCAAACATACCACCAGTTATGGGGTTTATAACTAAAAGCAAAGCTTATTAGGAGCACAGTATAAAAAGCAGTAAGTCTTTCAAGTGAGAATAAATGACTTTTCAACAATTTAAAGAGATGTAGTCATATCATGTGACATTCTATAGAAAAATGTCATGATTACCTTTATCATTTCTTCTTCTCCTGCTGTTTTATTTTTTGCTTCTATATCGCCTGCTTCATTGCATCTGATAAAGCAGCTATTTGAGGCCAATAAAGCCATTTTCCCCTAAATAAAATAACAATAAAAAATAGTTATGAGAATATCTGCAAAAGGAGTCAGGAAAAAGAATTTGGAAAAAACCTGGAAAAAAAATACAGAAAACTAAAACCACCTAAAATCTAATTATTTAAAGATAACCACAATAAATTTAATAAATATTTCTAGTGTATTCTATTAGTAAGACTAAATTCTAACTAGATGAAATAGAATTATTTCCTTTGGTCTACAAGATCTATTGAGGATATTACTAATTTAGTTGAGTTTGAAAAAAATAGCTTATAACATAATAAAAATTATAATAATAGTTTACTCAAACAGTTGTGCTTTAAGTAAAAATTTTCTCCATAAGACTATATCATGCAAGAGCTAGCTTTTGGGGCCTTTGAGTTTACTGTTCAGAACTTTAAGAATCAACATCTGGAAAGAAATATTTTTTGTGCATGGAAAGAAATATTTATATTCTTTTTAGTTGTTTATTTCTCAATGTATCATCTGATTCTGATAAACTAAACTTTAATAACTTATTTTCTTGTGTATCTGAACCAAGATAAAAAATTTGACTAAATTTCCTTATATAAAGTTTAATCACAAGTTGTATATATAATTGATTCTTTTAGAAAAATTAAAACTTAAAAAATCAAACAAAATATCCACAAACATAATTACAAAAATGTATTAATAGCCTTATATCATATCCAGATATGAAAGTGTTAATAACATGGATCTAATTTTTTACTCAAGATGGGAAGGGTTGGTTTTTCTTTTTTAATATATTTTTATTGATTTCAGAGATGAATGGAGAGATGGAAACATCAATTATGAGAGAGAGTTATTGATTGCCTGCCTCCTGCACACCCCACACTGGTGACCTAGCATGTGCCCTGATTGGGAATTGAACCGTGACCTCTTAGTTCATAGGTTGACACTCAACCACTAAGCCATGCCTGCTGGGCAGGGGCCGGGTTTCCTGTCACCCGGATGACCCTGGGTGAGCTTAGATATGGCTGTATATTCCCAGGTGACTTAAACCTGTACTGCTTATCTTTGTTACTTTCTGCAATCCAGTTTTACTTGTTACATCAGGGACTTTTAAGTCTCTCTTTAATTTAAAATTTAAAAGCATTATCTTTCCCCCAAATAAAGTGAGATGAATGCCCCTTAAGTTCTGTATGAGCATTAATATTTGACTTATCATCCTGACCTGATATAACAGCCTTTTCTGTTGATATAATTTTTATTATGAGCATCTCAGTATATTGGTAGGACCTTCTATCTACAAGGGGCTGTAACCTATTAGTAGTTCATGAAATGAATTTAGTGGGTCCTGACCAGTACTGAAGAAAAAACAAAAAGAGATAGAAAAATCAGAGTGCAAGCATGTAGATAAATAAGTACTGCCAAGTACAACTCTTGTTTCAGTTATACACGTGTGTACTATTAATAGGCTGCAATGTGCAATGGAAAAATGTCTTTCTTAGTGGATCGGAGTGAAAAAGAAAGTTAGTGATCCAGAGGTTTTTAATTCAGGCAAGAAGGAACGAGTCTAAGTAATTATCTCTTTTTGGGGGGTGCTTGGCTAATTTATCATTATGGAAACATGTGGCTAGTGGCTACCATTTTGGACAGTGTAATTCTATATATACTACTTTAATGGATAGATCATGTTCTATTATAGATGTTTTAAAGTTTATTTTTTCTATTATAAATAGTGCTGCTGGTTATTTTCTGTGCATAAAATTGTTGATGTATCTTTAAAAGAGATTCCTTACATTGACAAGAAGCTGTCTATAAACATTAACAGCACTTACATCTTGAAAGACTGGTTCCCATTGTTCTCTTGGTCCAATCGCATCTGAACGCCCAACAACAAGACCATCTGAATTTATGCCAAGGTACTTTCCATAGCCAGATTTTAGGGCAATTCTTCAGATTAATAAACAAGATAGATGTTAGAAACTGAGAGGAAGAAAATTAAATCTGGAACATAAAAATAATGTGTACGTACATAAAAATTCAGACTATAGTTCAAATATTCAAAAGTCACAAATGACTAGAGACTACCAAATAGGAAAGTGTAGTTCTGTGCATACAATGTCATATTCTACTTTTATTACAAGCATTATGGCTTCTATACTATATAGCAAATATTTTCCAAATTCTTTATTCTTTTTTAAAAAAAAAATATATATATTTTATTGATTTTTTACAGAGAGGAAGGGAGAGAGATAGAGTCGACCAGCCGCCTCTTGCACACCCGCTACCAGGGATATGCCTGCAACCAATGTACACACCCTTGATCAGAATCGAACCTGGTCTGCAAACCAACGCTCTACCACTGAGCCAAACCGGTTTCGGCTATTCTTAAAATATATAAAGAAGTTTGTGTTTATTGATTTTTCTTTAAAAGTCCGGTGTACTTGTTGGCAATTCAAAGAAAGTATAGAAATAATCATCTTAATATTGTGTGTTTTTTTTTTTTTTTAAAGAAAAATAGGATTTCTATGTTTTTAGCTTACCAATCTCCTGTGATGCCAGGGGACTGACTTTATACACACATACAGGTTAATGATAATATAACACAAGTCATTATTGTCTTAATGTAGCCAATTACTAGAATATGAAATTTAGTTGTTCTACTACACAAAGCATCATTCTGTACTTTTGCATTTTGAGGGGAAAAAAGGTCAGCTTATAAAATGATTGTAGAAATAGTGAGCAAAATGTCCTTTCGGTTTTATGACTATGTAACATTCTCTGCTGGTTTCAACAATATTCCTTTCTTCTACCTTCCTACTTGTCTGTTGACTGCTAACCAGTGAGTTTAAATATCATAGCAATAGCAGACAGTTTTAGGTCTGTTTTCGTCAGAGGATTTTTCTTATCTACATCTTACTTGGTCTATAACATATTCATTTTTCCCAGCATAGTATTATATATTGCTAGGATATTATAATGTATGCTTTTATCTGGGGCTTTTCCTTTAAAGATGGAGTTATTGAAAATGTAATTAAAAAATATATTTTATTGATTTTTTACAGAGAGGAAGGGAGAAAGATAGAGAGTTAGAAACATCAATGAGAGAAAAACATCAATCAGCTGCCTCTTGTACACCCACTACTGGAGATGTGCATGCCCTTGACCGAATTGAACCTAAGACCCTTCAGTCTGTAGGCTGACGCTCTAGCCACTGAGCCAAACCGGTTAGGGTGAAAACATAATTTAATAATACCTACATATTAACTGGATATATAAATAATGTTATATTTTATTAAATAAAACAAAATACACTTTCCAAAAATACTGTTTTGCTTTTTAAAGTGAAAATTACTCTGTGAGTTTACATTAGCTATACATTAAAAAAATTTAATAAAATTAAAACAATAAAAGATTATTAATTATAGTTCAACTCAAACTTACCTGGAATCAGACAATTTGACAGCTGTAAACTGCTCCGGGGGACTAGGGCCTTCATCCACTACAGGAGAAAAAACATTTTGAAATAAATTTGACATTTGTTATAAATATATATGTAAAGATAGTCTCCAGTTTTTAAAAAATGTAGCCTTCTTCTAAAATTAAATGTAGCCTGGCTAGCATGGCTCAGTGGTTCTGGAATTATACAAAATGTTTTCTAATTTTTATATTAGAAAGAAGGAGTTGCCAATAAGAGATAAATGTTGAGGAAAGAAACAAGTGGAAAAGTCAAATGCAATAGATTCATTCCTTTGGAATATACTCGGGATTAGTTAGATGCTGGCCAGAGTAAACAAGTGCAATAAAATGTATGCTTTAAGTGGCCTTTCCTTTTAATCACTTCTATCAGACACAAACCTTCTTTATGTGGAGCTCCCAGTGTAAAAAGTCCATTGTCAAGTGCATGTACGTAGGTTCCTTTATCCATTTCAATAGCTATGGTTCCTGAAATTTCACCAAAATTTGTTACTGTCCACCAGATTCCTAAAAAATAAAATCAATATTTCAGATTTGTTTTTTAGATTTGACACAAGGTTCTTACTGTTATTGTCATAACTTACTTTCTAAAAACACTATTTTGCAGTTCTCAGAAATTAAGAGAGAGAAATCTCATATACCCTTTACTCACTTTCTCCCAATGGTAACCTTTTGTATAACCATGCTACTGATAGCACAACATCAAAACCAGGTTATCAACAATGATACAATCCATTAATTTAGTAATGTCTCAGACTACAAGCTCAATATTTAGGAATCAATTACATATTTATATACAATTGAAAAATAGAAATTTAAACTTCTATCTATAAAAGTGTTAAGTTATGAAATATTTAGGAATATAAAAAAAGACATGGAAGACTGCTACACAAAAACTGCATATTGAGAGTCAATGTTGTTAAGATGTTGAGTCTCCCCAAATGATCCATATTCAATACAATTCTCCCAAAAATCCAACAGGCTTAACTGTAGAAAGTGATAAAACTGACTATAAAATTTATATGTAAATGTAAAGGATCTAGAATAATCAAAACAATCTTGAAAAAGAAGTGTAAAGTTGGGAGACTCGTATCACCTGATTACAAGACTTGGTTAAGTGATAATAATCAAGACAAATATATCCATGAAACAATATTGATGGAACAGAGTCTAGAAATAGACCAAAACATAAAAAATCAATTGATTTCTGACAAAGATACTGAAGCAGTTTAATGGGGAAAGGAAAGTCTATTCAATAGTGCTGTTGGAATAAGTGAATACAAATCTGGAAAATCATACCCTAAACCTTGATCCTTACCTCACACCATACCCAAAATTAATTTGAGATGGGTCATAGATCTAATGTAAGACCCCAAACCATGAAGCCTGTAAAAGGAAATGTAGAGGAATATCTTTGTGACCTTGGGTTAAACAAGGATTTCTTAGACTGGAGAAAGAAGCTGTCATAATAGAAAAAAATTAGGTTTTATAAAAATCCCAAACTTACACTTATAAAAAAAAAAACACTGTTAAGAAAATGAAAAGTAAAACACAAACTGAGAGAAAAAAGTAAGAATAGGATTTTAATACTTTCTTGATGGGAAGGTAAAGTGGTACAGGCATTTTAGAAAATTTGTGTCAGCTTTTTATATAGTTAAATGTTCACGTATCCTTTGATCTTTCTTCTTACTACAGAAGATAATTTATATAGATGAGTCTAAAGGGTGTAGGGTGAGTGAGGGTGGCGGGGTGTGGGGTGAGCGAGGGTGGTGGGGTGTGGGGTGAGCGAGGGTGCGGGGTGTGGGGTGAGTGAGGGTGGCAGGGTGTGGGGTGAGTGAGGGTGGCGGGGTGGGGGGTGACTGAGGTGGGGGGTGTGGGGTGAGTGAGGGTGGCGTGGTGGGATGAGTGAGGGTGGCGGGGTGTGGGGTGAGGGTGGGGGGGTGTAGGGTGAGTGAGGGTGGGGGGTGTGGGGTGAGTGAGGGTGGGGAGGTGTGGGGTGAGCGAGGGTGGCGGGGTGGGATGAGTGAGGGTGGCGGGGTGTAGGAATGTGCCTGCAATGGAAGGACGCCCTGTCTGGGGCTGGTGCCTGCCTTGTATCCTAAGCTTCAGGGATAGCCTAGGGCCACCGGCAACACTAAACTGGAATAAAGGAGTTGGAAAAGAAGGCTTTACTTGTTCATATTCATCTTTCTTAAGTGTATGTACAGCTTGCATTTATCTCAATGTTTAATATTAGAAGTATTCTGAGTCTTTATTTAGAAGTTTGGTGATGTTTTTGTGACCAGAAATATGCTGAAGGAACTTGACTCTTGATTATATCCATCAGTTATAGTAAAACTGGTTTCATTATACCACACATCATTTCACTTACAACCAGTTTCCAAAAACCTACTGACAACTTTATGTTAGGACTTACTGTACTTTGTAAAACATATTGGTTAAATATTTATATGAGGACTTGAAAATAATGTATCAGAACCTGGGCTATTATCGGTAAGTAGTCTAATGGTGTCTATTAAATCAGAGCTGTTTCCTCTCTCCTGTGCTTTGATCTGATAATGATGGAAAGGCATCGATGACACCTACTGTGCTGGAGGAAAAATCTACAACCATAACTAATATTTGAGCACTTTAAGATAAATATGAATAGGTCATAAACTCCTCCTACTTTCTTTTTACTGTCTAACTAGGAAGATATTTTTAAAGGGATCCCAACCAGTGCTAACTTTTCTCAGAATATAGAAAACTTACCAACAATATCAAGTTGGGTTTCTTCATCATCTTCTCTTTTTCTCTTCTTCTCTTTGTTCTTTTTCTTCTTACTACAGGAGATAATTTGTATAGATGAGTTTAGGCATAATGATTTGCACTTAAAATATCACAAGGTGGAATCTCAGAAGAATCTTTTGAGCTGTACAGTGGTTTATAAATTATTAATTTAAAAATAGACATGGCTCTTATCTCCCCTCACCCCCTCCCCCCCCCCCCCCCCGCAAGAATTTTGTGCACTGGGCCTCTAGTATGTTCCTAACTGTGTAAGAATATTTACATCTACTCTGATCTTTATTATTTCCTTCTTCTCACTCAGGGCTTTGTTCCTTTTCAAGTTTCCTTAGTGTAAAGTTAGATTGTTTATTGGGACTTTTTCTTGTTTCTTTCTTTCTTTGTTTTTACACTGTACTAGGATAGAATGAAACACCTCAGTAGCTTCTGAGGCTAATACATTTCTATCACCACAATTACTTTAGCAAACCTGGTTCCCTTCACTTCTGCAACATCATGCAGAGTTAGTGATCGAGTTTGCACTTTTCTTATTTCTTTTTTTTTTTTAAACATATTTTATTGATATTTTACAGAGAGGAGGAAGGGAGAGAGATAGAGAGCTAGAAATGTCGATGAGAGAGAAACATCGACCAGCTGCCTCTTGCACACCCCCTACCGGGGATGTGCCCGCAACCAATGTACATGCCCTTGACTGGAATCGAACCCAGGACCTTGCAGTCCGCAGACCGATGCTCTACCACTGAGCCAAACCGGTTTCGGCCACTTTTCTTATTTCTTGAGATAGGCATGCAATGCTATGAATTTCCCTCTTAGAACTGCTTTCCCTACATCCCACAGATTTTGGTTGTTCTGTTCTCATTTTCATTGTATAAAAATATTTACAGCACTATTATTCATAAAAGCTCCAAAGTAAAAAAACCCAAATATCTATCAATTGTTGAATGGATAAACAAAATGTGTTGTATTTGTAGATACTACATTCACCATGGAATATTATTCAGCTATCAAAGGAATGAATACTAATACATGCTACAACACAGATGGACCTTGAGAAAGTTTTGCTAAGTAAAAGAAGCCAGATACAAAAGGCTGCATATTGCATGATGACATTTATGTGAACTATTCAGAACAGGCCAATCCAGAGAGACAGAAAGCAGATCAGTGATTGTCAGGGACAGGGAGGGGAGAACGGGAAGAATTTATGCTTAATGGGTAAGGGGCTTCCTTTTGAGGTGTTGAAAATGTGTAACAACTAGATAGTGGTGTACCTTGTGAATATACTAAAAAAAACCCCACTGAACTGTATGTTAAAATATTGAATTTTATGGTATGTACCGTGTTTCCCCAAAAATAAGACATTCTCCGAAAATAAGACCTACTTACAGGTTTCTTTCTGAGTGAAATATAAGGCATACCCCTGAAAATAAGGCCCCCCCTAGGCTCTGTCTCAGAATGCTATTGCTAAACATGAGAGATTTGGTCCACTGATTCTGAAATAAATGGAGTCACAAGAAATTCACCAGGAAATTCAGGAATTGGGTTGTTATGATGATGTTCTAGAAGATGATGACAGGATTGTCATTGAATAAATGAGTAAATTCTTGATACTGTAGGATTCACAGTTTGTCTGGTTTGTGTTGACAACTACCGTACTACCGTATGGTATGCTCGTAATAAATTTCCTTTATTTTCATTTAACAATATATGTGTACCGTATTCTTCTTCATGGAAAAATAAGACATCCCCTGAAAATAAGACCTAGCGCATCTTTGGGAGCAAAAATTAATATAAGACACTGTCTTATTTTCAGGGAAACAGGATAGTTATACTGCAATAATTAAAAAAACCCAGGGGCTACTTAAAAAAGTTAATATGCGCCGAAACCAGTTTGGCTCAATGGATAGAGCATCGGCTGCCGACTGAAAGGTCCGGGGTTCGATTCTGGTCAAGGGCATGTATCTTGGTTGCGGGAACATCCTCCCCAGTAGGGTGTGTGCAGGAGGCAGCTGGTCAATGTATCTCTCTCATGGATGTTTCTAGCTCTCTATCCCTCTTTCTTCCTCTCTGTAAAAAAATCAATAAAATATATTAAAAAAAAGTCCTTGGCACATAAAAAGTGCTATATATGTGTTAACTCTGCTCAGCAGTTATGATGATCGTCCCGCTTTTGGTGGGACCATCCTGATTTTTAACAGTGTGTCCCGTCCCCATTTGGACTTTTTAAAACGCCGCGAGACACATTGTTAAAAATCGGGACGGTCCTGCCAAAATCGGGACTTTTTTAGCGCGCCGCGGGACATGCCGAGACCGGTTTGGCTCAATGGATAGAGCGTCGGCCTGGGGACTGAAAGGTCCCGGGTTCGATTCCGGTCAAGGGCATGTGCCTTGGTTGCGGGCACATCCGCGGAAGGGGCTGTGCAAGAGGCAGCTGATCGATGTTTCTTTCTCATCGACGTTTCTAACTCTCTATTCCTCTCTCTTCCTCTCTGTAAAAAATCAATAAAATAATTAAAAAAAAAATAAAACGCCGCGGAACAAATTGTTAAAAATCGGGACGGTCCCGCCAAAAGCTGGACGGTCTGGTCACTAGTGGAGTTCCTATCCGAGCCCATACCCCTGTCAGCACCCACCTCTGCCTACCAAGAGGTTTTTTAGGGTGGAGGGAGACAACGGTGAAAACAATGATCCCAATACAGGAGGTTAGACCTGAGCGCTCAGACCGCCGTGGGGAGGAGCAGGGGTGAGGACAGGGGGCACAGTGCGGCTCCGCGGCATTGGCCCCGCCCTCCGTCCCCGCCCCTCGCGGGCCGAGTCCCCGCCCCCTCCGCGGCCATTGGCCCCGCCCTCCGTCCCCGCCCCTCGCGGGCCGAGTCCCCGCCCCCTCCGCGGCCATTGGCCCCGCCCTCCGTCTCCGCCCCTCGCGGGCCGAGGCCCCGCCCTCCGTCCCCGCCCCTCGCGGGCCGAGTCTCCGTCCCCTCCGCGGCATGGGCCCCGCCCTCCGTCCCCGCCCCTCGCGGGCCGAGTCCCCGCCCTCTCCCCGGCCATTGGCCCCGCCCTCCGTCCCCGCCCCTCGCGGGCCGAGTCCCCGCCCCCGTCCCCCGGGCGCCGGGCCCGGGCTGGGAGCCCGAGGGACTGACAGCTGCCCGGCCCCCGGGAGACCCGCCCGGAAAGCGAGGGGGTCTGCCCGCCTCCCCGAAGCCCGGCCTCACCTCTTGGCCTTGGTCCCCTTGAGCACCAGCTTGGTGGACTTGACGTAGGAGTACTCGGCCATGGCGCCGGCGAAAGGCGGGCTCCGGCTCGGGGTGGACGCCTCGCCTGGAGCGGGACGGACGAGGGAGGCACCAAAGCGGGGACGAGGCGCCAGGCCCTGAAGCGCAGGCCCGCAGCGGCGGCCGGAGCGTCTCTTCTCCGCCAAACCGGTGGCTCCCTTCTCCCGACGCCAGGGCCCCGACAGAGCTCCACTTCCTGCTTACTGCCCGGCTACGGCGGCCGCGGAGGGTCTGAATGCGTCACCCCCGTTCGCCGGCTCTGAACGCCGAGTGTTCGGGTACCGGGAGACGCGCCCTCCGGCGGACGAAGCGGGTATAGCAGCCGCGGGCGGCTTCCAGGCCGCTGTGGGGCAGCCTCCGGCGGGTGTGCGGGCTCCCGGCGGCGGGCACCCTGTGATCGGCAGGGGGGTCACCCAGGGAGAGCAAGTCAATGGCCCAGAGAGGGAGCCCGTCACCCCTTCCCGGGCAGCCGCCGGCCGGCCTAGGCTCTGCGGTGGTCGGCAAACTCACTGGTCCACAGAGCCAGACCTCAGCAGGACAGCGACTGAAATTGCTTTGCAGAGCCACATTTTTTAAACGTAAACTCTATAGGTAGATTCACTGTTATTCACTTAATTAGGGCACTCCTAAGCTGGCCTCTGCTAAAAACTCGAGGGGCCAAAGAGCCGCATGTGGCTCGCGAGCCGCAGTTTGCCGACCACGGGCCCGGAGCCGCCTCTGGCCTTGGACACGGACTTTACAGGCCGTTTCAGGTCCATAAGCGTTTACTGGCGTGTCTTAACGAAGGCGACCTGCGTGCTGTCGTGCAGGAAGGGATCAGGGAATAAATGGAAAGATCGTTACCTGTGGAAAGGAGGGCCGCACTGCGGGGGTCCGGGTGGAGGCGGGGAGGGGGCTTCGTGGAAAACTAACGGGGAGAAGCCCTCACAGCGCAGCTACTTACCCTAAGCCAGGGGTCTGCAACCTTTAAGACATAAAGAGCCACTTGGACCCGTTTCCGAAGGGAAAAAAAAAAAAAAACAACACCTGGGAGCCGCAAAACCATTGCGACATTTAAAACAAATAGAACACTGCATGCATTGTTTCTTACCTTAATGCTATAGACCGGAGCGTGCAGTTAGCTGTCCATCTGAAGAAAAAGACTTTTTCACTTAACAATGTAAAATATATTTTTGCAAATGAATAGCTAATTAAAATATTTAATTTACCTGGTTAATGGGATTTTTGCTCCTGAACCTTCAGTGCACAGTGTCAGCCCATTAGGGCCGTAAGACGTTACCTTCATTTTCACACGGGCTTGCAAGTTGTCGGAGCCAAGGGAAAGCTTCAAAAGAGCCGCATGCGGCTCTGGAGCCCTAGGTTGCCGACACCTGCCCTAAGCAGTTCCCCGCCTGCTCCAGCCCCTCCAGCAGTGTCACAGCTCACCTCCCCATCCCGCTTCCTCCTCTCCACACCGTCCTCGGAGCTGCCCCAGGGGCCTGCCTGAGGACATCGCTGGCGATTATTCCCCTGCCTACAAGGCAGCCTCTTGTTTCCAGGAGGGAAACCCCTAGCATGCTTGTGCCATTTCTTCCTGCCACCGGGCAGAGTCGGCTGAGCCCCCAGGACAGTGCAGCACCACCCAGGAGGGTGTGTGAGGATGGTCCCCCCCAAGGAAGCAGCCTTGAGATTGAACTTGGAACTGGACTGAGTCCTCAGAGGGTTCATTGTGGGGAAAGGGCCTCAGTGCATTTTATTGGCAAGGGTAAGCATTTCCCCACGCTCCGCTGAGAGAGGATAAAACGCGATCAGTTACAGAAATAAAATATCCCCCCCCCTTTTTTTTAATAACGTTTGCACATAGGCACAGTCTATGTGAACTTTCAACGTTTTTACGCATCAGGCAGGCACAGTGCCTCGTGAGCACTCCGTGAATATTGCCGTTGACTGTCTTATTTCTCGTTAGCTTCATTTATCCTTGTTTGTATTTCTAGTTGGCTTTCATCGCCCCTGTGGCGAGGATTTGGCGTTCACACCTTACGTAACTTACACCCCGTTCACACCAGCCACCCGTTTTCTCTTTCTGCTTTCATGTGCTTGCTTTTCTGCATCCATTCACCTACTTTTCTCCTATGGGGTTAGATTGCCTCTCCGTCCCAGATCATCAAGGATTGTTCCCCAACCTCAAGGTCCTTAATTTCATCGTATGTGTAAGGTGACACCAAATTCACAGGCTGCAGAGATGAAGACATCTTGGTGTGTGTGTGTGTGTGTGTGTGTGTGTGTATGTATGGGGCTGGGGTTGGGGGTGTCTGGGGAGGAAGGAGCATCATTCTGACCACCACAAAGGCAGGGCCTTTGCAAGTCCTCGTCGTGTGCACTTGATCTCAGAGCCTGGAACGCATCCGACTCTTAAGCAAATGTTGAGTCAGTGAGTAAATATTTCAGTTTACAGATTGCTGCCACATTGCAACCCCCCACTTCTGGGCGGAATGTCTCTGTGAGAATTAAACAGCCAGAACTAAAAATAAAACCCATGCTTTCCCCAATGGGATTTGGGTGGAATGGTATTTGAATGCCAGCGTGTTCTCCGTCCACGGCCTTCCTTGCAAGGAAGAGAAATAAAGGATGGCCCACTTACACGGCCAAGACTGTAATGGGGAGATATTATGTTACCGCCTCCTTTGCATTCGGATGGAAGCTGGTTATGTTATTCCTTTCCCCTGCGCGGCCTGGAGCCCCCTCTCCGTTTATTTCTATTAGGAGAGATCTGATCCATCGAGCCTTTCCTAAACCCCACTCTCATGAAACATTTTCTGATCCGCAATCCAATCTAATCCCTCCCTGGAGGCCCGCTAACAGTGTGTTTAGACTTAGCTTGTGATTTTCCGCCTTCTGTCTCACAGTCCCCTCTTTTGCTAACGGGGTGCCGCGGTGGGCAGCTTACCAGCCAGGGCTGTGGGACCCTGAGCTCCGTGTGGGGAGCTTCCTCCTTGTGGGGAGCACTACCTTCTCCAGCTTCCTGGCTGCCCTGTGAGGGCACATCCCTGGCCCCAACCGCTGCCCCCTTCCTGGAATCCTGAACCTGCTGGGACGTCCCAGAGGAAGCGGGACAGTCCGAGATGGTGCTGAGCAGCCGCAGCAGAGATGCCTGTGGCAGCCGGGGCCCCGGGCACAGCAGCACCCAGCTGCCTAGTGCCAAGTGTCAGATGCCCACATCCGGGAGGTGGCATCCTAAGCAGGCTGTTTCTGCGGGATGAACTTGGCTCTGCCCCCTCCGCTAGGTTGCTTATTGGGTGCCCAGACCCTGCCATGGTTCTCCAGCATCTTCCATGGTTTTGCGGACTGTCCAGTACTTCCTTCAGACTGGATAATGTCCTCCCTCCTCACCCTCTGCCCCCAAATTGATAGGTTGAAACCTGTCCCCAGCGAGATGGTGCTTGGAGGCGGGGTCTGTGAGAGGTGATGAGTGTCCTTAGGAAAGAGGCCCACAGGAGTTTCCCCACCCTCCCCGCCACGGAAGGCCATTCAACACCCCTCCATGCAGGCGTCTGCCCTGGAGTCCAGGCGGCATCCCGTGGGGGAAAAGCGTGAATTTTATTTTCCATTCCGGCTCCGAAGAGCAGGGTCAGCCATAGGGCTGGTGGGCACGGTTCACAGAGGAGACGAGCGGCACGCTTTCTGTGAACCGTCTTCTGACGGCGACACACAAACCCCTTCCGTCAGCCGTCTCCGTGGATTTGGCAAGTGACCCAGCGTATCATGTTAGCTCACCTGGTGTGACAGGCGAGGCATGTATGTGCAGGACACTTTCCCCCCTTTAAGATGAAGCTTTTGAAAACAAAAAACGTATCCCTAGACCTTTCTCTCCTAAATTGTGCTTTCGCCGGCATCACCCTTCCTAATGAGAGGTCTCTTTAGTTTTAACACTAGGCATTGTATTATCAAAGCAAAAGCGTTATTCTTGGTCTTGTTCCTGGAATGACCGCAGGTTTGAAAACGGACTGGCTTACCTCACACCAATGGAGCACATTCCCACGCAGCCTGCTCCCCGGTGCGTGCCCAGGGGCCAGTGGCGGCTCCCTTTTCACTTCCCAGCGGTTCTGACGGAGCACGGGGCCTGGCGAGCGAGCAGAGTGCCGGAGGCATTTCGGCCCCCACTTACCCCTCAGCTGGGCCCCCCTTACCCCTCAGCTGGGCCCCACTTACCCCTCAGCTGGGCCCCCCTTACCCCTCAGCTGGGCCCCACTTACCCCTCAGCTGGACCCCCCTTACCCCTTAGCTGGGCCCCCCTGACCCCTCAGCTGGGCCCCCCTTACCCCTCAGCTGGGCCCCCCTTACCCCTCAGCTGGGCCCCCCTTACCCCTCAGCTGGGCCCCCCTTACCCCTCAGCTGGGCCCCCTTACCCATCAGCTGGGCCCCCCTTACCCCTCAGCTGGGCCCCACTTACCCCTCAGCTGGGCCCCCCTTACCCCTCAGCTGGGCCCCCCTTACCCCTCAGCTGGGCCCCCCTTACCCCTCAGCTGGGCCCCACTGACCCCTCAGCTGGGCCCCACTGACTCCTCAGCTGGGCCCCCCTTACCCCTCAGCTAGAACCCCCTTACCCCTTAGCTGGGCCCCCCTGACCCCTCAGCTGGGCCCCCCTTACCCCTCAGCTGGGCCCCCCTTACCCCTCAGCTGGGCCCCACTTACCCCTCAGCTGGGCCCCCCTTACCCCTCAGCTGGGCCCCCCTTACCCCTCAGCTGGGCCCCCCTTACCCCTCAGCTGGGCCCCCCTTACCCCTCAGCTGGGCCCCCCTTACCCCTCAGCTGGGCCCCACTTACCCCTCAGCTGGGCCCCCCTTACCCCTCAGCTGGGCCCCACTTACCCCTCAGCTGGGCCCCACTGACCCCTCAGCTGGGCCCCACTGACTCCTCAGCTGGGCCCCCCTTACCCCTCAGCTAGAACCCCCTTACCCCTTAGCTGGGCCCCCCTGACCCCTCAGCTGGGCCCCCCTTACCCCTCAGCTGGGCCCCCCTTACC